CAGTCAAGTACCTCAACAGTACACTTGGTTTTCAATCCACGATATCCTTTTCAGAAAGTCTACTCTTTACTGTCTTGATATCACCACCCGTGCAAGGAACCCTGACGCTCATCCCCGAGAACCAACCGAGATCCATACACGGTACTTCCATACCCGCTGGACCTTCACAGGTAACTACTTATGTCCTAAGGGAGGATGCTCACAAATTTTTGTACAACACAAGCTTTTGCGGGATCACCATCTCAAGGCGCATCCACTGTCAAAACATACTTCAATAGTAAAGGCAAAATACTATAGAGAGCCCCTCGTCGTCAATCAGTCATGGTTCTCGTTTCAGCAGTATGACGCTGACCTAGCGTTGTACCGACAGAGAGCCGATTTAGATGTTAACCGTACTCAATACAAGGACTGGCCTAGTCGCAGAAAACGCATAGTACTCGGACGCCTGATCGAAGACAAGTACGGCCTCATAAGCCCAGATCCATGCGCTAGGTGCATAGCAAACAGCACAACGTGCATCGTTCGTCATCCACGGTGCGATAGGCAACATCTGCTAGTGCGGAAGAACCATTATCGCAGCCAACGTACCCGGTGTTCCGCGTGCGTGGAGATCAATAACCGATGTGGCATCAGAGTCGATGTATCCAGACCATACATGTCTGGAGTGCAGACACGGCCGCCAAAGAGGAAAACGCGTAAAGAAAGGGACGAGCCCCAGAGGGAGGAGCAGCCCACGAAGCAAAGGAAGCCAAGCCATTGTCAGAACTCTTCTATCGGTTCAAGTGCGTCTTCTAAGCCTAGTCAATTGTCCATCGATTGTGGAGCGCCGATTGTTATCTCGAGTGCTGAAGATACTTCATCCAGTGACTCAGACGGCGAAGAGGAGTTGGGGGAGAGAGGAACAGCAGGAACAGCACCAGGAACAGCACCAGAAACAGCACCAGGAACAGCACTAGGAACAGCACCAGGAACAGCACCAGGAACAGCACCAGGAACAGCACCAGGAACAGCAGCAGCAGGAGCAGCGGCAGGACCAAGAGGACATGTACGAGGGGATCAGCCTTGAGACCCTTCGGAAGGAGTATGGGCAAAAACTCGAGCAGGACATCTTCTATCGAGAAGCTACGGTTAATCCTACATTGAATATGTGCAAGCAAGAGGAGCATATCATTAAGAGAGAATGGGTAAAGTGGCTGAAACCTCAACATGGGTCCTTAGACGCCGAGCGGACTGCAGCGCTTGAGAATGCGTGCAAGGAACGTGGAGGAGTTTGGGAGCTGGAAAATCTGAATTTGGCCCGACGCCGGCGGGAAGATTACAAAATTATATGGGATCTGGCGAAGAAGTGGTGCAAACGTGGGGAAATCCCAGGGGGGCGTTTTGATTTTCTTGGATAACGACCAATTTTTCTTTCCTATACACCGTTGGGGCCATCGGGTGCAGGCATGGGAGATGCACTACTCCCTCTCTGCTCATCCACAGCTTTCGTCCAGGCATCATCTACAACTTTTTTATTTACGCATCTTCATCCAGACATCTTCATTCAAAACATCTTTATTCAGACATTCTCGTCTAGCCATCTTCATCCAGACATCCCATCCAAACATTCTTATCTCGCACAGCCTACGTTCCGAAGCTATCGACCTCGTACATCAAAAGCCCAGATCACAAAAAAGAGCATCTGCGTCACCGCGACCTCACTATCTCACACTCAACGCACCAACGCTCATTTCTCTGAAACGCACAAGATCAACAAAACACAAACCCTCCCGTCTATACTTTTCGCGCCACTCTAGCAGAAGCGCAGAGCACGGGAAATGTAGCAAGACTATCGAAGCCTTACCATCTCTCGCTCACTTCACCAACGACCACCATACCAACCCTAGACACCATTCCCGCCCACTCCCATTCCTCTCTTCCTTCCACATCACAATGAACGAACAAAGTCAATATATGCATCGATATCACACCTATCAATTCCCACTACCTATACATTCATCCTCTCACGGACGCAGACCTCAAGACCACCATATCTGTACCCCTTGAACAATACCCTTCAACCATCCACCGCGATATCGCACTCTTTGCTAATCCCCCTGAAAACACCTTCCAATATTTGGGTCGAAACCAAAAGAACCACCGCATCCATCCAGCAAGCGCGAGGCCCTATGCAATTCACCCCTTAGCCCATCAAAGTCTAGCGCGAATCCAAGAGCAGTCCATCTTTCATCATCTCTGATCCAATCCGCCCCGTGAAACCTTCCGAAGAAAACGCCGCAGAAAGACAAACCACACGCTCACTTCTCCATCTTCTCCTTGACATCCTTAACCTTCTTCCACAACTCGATTGCATTCGCGCCTTTCATCTGTACCCAACGTTAGCCTTTACTCTTCTCATCCTCTCTCCCTACCCCACCTCCTTTTCCGGGTCAAACAAACCTTCAAAAGCACGACCTCCAGCTTCCCCTCACTCGTCGGGGCATTGAACAAGATCTTCCCATCCCTCGGTTCCTCGCCCTGCGCATTACCCCCGAAGATCAAACCCTTGCCAACGGGACAATTGAGAAGCAGACGATGGGTCCCATCCGCTCTCAGAATAAACCTTGAGCGTTTCGGCGACTCGTTGCTCTGATTGAGTTTGAAGACGCCGGCGCCGCGCTCTTTCCAGCCTTCTGAGAAATGGTACAATTTGCCGCGGGCGGTGTAGATTGTGGTTTCGTTTTCTTCGCCTGTCTCGACTGCGGGGTGGTGGTTAGTTCGAGGTGGGAGGAAGGAGGGGGAAGGGGAGGAAATTATTACCATCTTGCGGCACGAAAACGCTCTTCTTCTCTTTCTCTTGCGGTTGCGTCGACTTCTCCGCGTCGTCGTTGTCGCCGCCAGCATCGCTTTTGTCGTCGCCGCTATCGTCTTCCTCATCCTCCTCGTTGTCTGCAGTGGATGCACCAAAGGGCCGAGCAGGCTTACTGCTCAACCCAGAGATAGTCGTGGTACCTGGCTTTGCGAAGCTGCTTAGTTTGTTGCCGCCGATGCTGCCAAAGCCGCCGCCGCCTAGAGTGCCGCCGAAGACCGACTTTCCGGAAGACCCTAGAGCGCCGAAACCGCTTGAAGCGGCAGGTGCGGCTGCTGATGGTAGCCCGCTGGTTTTGGCGCCAGTGGAGGCGGCTGCGAAGGGAGAGGGAGATTTGGAACCTACGGCACCGAAGGGGGAGACAGTTGACGACGCGAAGCTGCCGAAGCCGGAAGCCTTGAACTTTTCGTCGCTGGTTTGGGGAAGGTCTTGGGCGGGTTTAGCTGGGGGTGGTGCTTGTTTTTTGGGGGATAGTGAGGCGAAGGGGGATGCTGCAGAGACATTTGCAAAGCCACTTCCAGGAGGGATCTATTCGCGAAGTCAGATCTGTATAGTTAGTACTATGTCGCGTACGTACCTTTGTTGCACCCTCTGCCGGGATTGTGGCAGATTCAACCTCGCTCTTCTCGCGGGGACGCTTGGTGATAGGTTCATCCGCCTTTTTCTTGTCGGACTCTGGTGTGGCCGCTTCCGCCGAACCCGCGTCGGCCGCTTCGCCGCTTGACAGTTGGTCATGAGTGCGCTTGTTTTTCGGGTTGGTTGATTCCGCATCGTCGTCCTGGTGAGCAGGGGTGTTTCTCCCGTTTGACCGGGTGTTTGCCTTCTCGCCAGACACACTCGCATTACCCATGGCCGCATCGCCATCCTGTTCAGCAATCCGTGAGACCGAAGTCTTCAATTTGGCATCCGAGGGCGCCGGGCTCGTCACATCTCGGGACTTCTTGCGTGCATGGCCCTCCTGCTTCTTGGTCGGCGTGCCCTCATCGACCTCTTCGTGGCTGCGTTTCCGGGAGAGCCTCCCCCTCTGTTCGGAGCCGGAGGAGCTGCGAGAGCCCAACTTGGAGTCGTCCGCACCGTTCGCGGCATCCTGCATCGGTTGGTCGGATCCAGGAGCTCCGATTCTCGTCTTCCTCAGCTTTTCCCTCACTGGACGTCCTTCGCTGCCATCGCTTCTGTCGCTCCGGGTCGGAGAGGGGGCCTCGGTAGACGTAGGTTCTCCAGATGCTGAAGGTTGCGGGGACAGCTTTCGCTCCGAACCGCGCGCCATTGGTGGGTCTTGCGTGTCCCGACTGCTTCGAAAGCCGTATATGTGGTGTTGAGAAGTTGAGGAGAGGTGTTTGCGAGGGCGAAAGCGAGGAGAGAGTTATAGATATGATTGACAACGGACGAGCGTGGTTTGGCGCAGACTAGCTCCCGAGACAAGGTCGGAGCTGGGGCCCAGGGCTTGCAACGGGAAATGAGAGGCTTCCAGGCGCGACGCGCACAAATTGGAGCAGCAGCGGGAGGGCCGGTGTGTGTGCAGATGAATGGAGGGCGACTGGCGCTTCGAGGTGGTGTCTCAGTGCGTTGGCAGAGCAGCCCACCTTCGAATGACGCTGGTTGGCCGGCATTATTCAGCCGTTAATCGCGGGGCTGCCTGGCCAATCAGAGGCAGCGATTCCATAATTGTCTACAGTTGTAGCAAACTACTAAGGCAGTATCCTATGTACGTGCCCAGTACGGAACCTCGGAATATAGAAACGAGCAAAACGTACTTTTCTCGATTGAATTTCAGATCTTCCTGTTCCAAGCCGTAACGCTCGCCGGGGCATCATCAACCATTCATTTTGGCCATTTTGACGCCAGCACCAGAAACCCATACAGCCCCCGACCTGGGGACAGAAACACAACCAAATCCAACGCCTAGTAGCCCCATCCAAACAGTACAGAATCAGCTGATGAAACAAATACAGCCCAACGCAATGTAAAAAACAAACAAGGGGTATACTGCGATGCCAACTCGGTTCTTGACAACGCCTGACCCTCCCATGATACTCACGCCTGCTGCCAGCGACCAGGCAATGAGAACAAGGTAAACCGGTATTCGCGCAATGAGTGGAATGCCGACAGCACTCAGTACCGATGCGATGACTAGAGGAAAAAGAGTGTACCCGATGATGGAGACGGATTGGAAGAAGGCACTGCAGTGGTCAGAGAGTTGCACATTGTCGAGGCTGGCATACTCACATGTTGCCTCCAAGCAGCTTGATCTGCAGAGTCACAACTGCTTCTCCAATCCACACCATGGCGAAGATGCCAGAGAACACGAGGTCCTTTTGCGAGTCCTTGGCACCCCTAGACAAGAACAGGCTGAGGAGCAGGCAGAAGATGAGCGGGCCCCAGAGGTCCCAATCTCGCAACCCTTCGCTCATTCCAGCTTGGAGAATAACGTCAGCATCCGGCCATCGACCAGCCAGATTTCTGAGGCCGCCGCCAAAGCCATCTGCCTCGCCGCGTTCTGCTGCACCAATACCACCGCCGCGCTCCATGAGGCCTCCCAGCAGGTACTTGGGGTAGAGCACTTGCTTCATCTTTTCCCAGATGGCCAGCAGGTCCCGCGACAGTGTTTCCCATACGGTTTCGTCGATGGTGTTGGTTGGCGCACGGCGGTCTTCTCCGCCTATCGTCGATGTGAGGTAGTTCTGTGCATTTCCAGCGCCCGAACGTGATTGTATATTCCCAGTGAGCGGTGCGCGGTCGGATGTAGACTGCAATGGATCGTCGAGGTCGTCGAGGGTAGCTACAAGGACGCGTGTGAGTACCGCGATGCATGGCTGGCGCGTTAGTGGGCCGGCATACCGTCATCGGGGTCAATGAGGTCGCGCTCAATGGCGTCCTCGTCGTAGACGCCGCCCGCAGTCTGGGAGCTGGGCATTATGGCGGCCATGCCCGGCGAGGCAGCGGAAGAGGAGAAGAAACGGGTGGGGGGTGAATGTGGAGCTTCAATTGGGCGGGCGAGACGTGAACTCGGCGGAGATCTGGGCTGACCGGGATGCAGTTCGCGGTGATGCCAGGTTGCGTCGGCGCTTGCATTTCTCCGACGACCGGGGTGCGCTGTGCGGAAGGCATACTCTTTCGGAAAGGCGTCGTCATTCACCAAGAAACGTCCAAAATGGAGCCCTTATATCCAACCGCGCTCGCTGATCTCTGGACGTCTGTGTTCACTGCATCTATTAGCCAAAATGCCCGAGTCCATCCTGAACGACATCTCCCATAGGCGGTACAATCCCCTGCGCGGTAGTTGGGTGCTCGTCTCGCCTCATAGAAACAAGCGGCCATGGCAGTGAGTACAGGATTGTGTTTGCATAGTACGTTACTGACACCCGTTCAGAGGCCA